CTAATGTTCAACTGTGCCGTAACATACACCAACAGGCAGGAAATATTACCCCTCATCCTTTGGAAACAGCTGCCATTTTTCTGTAAAACAACTGAGTATGCATTCCTTCTGCTTCTCTGCACATTCTGTGAAATGCTGCTCTTCTCATTCAAATATACCGCTAAAAAAAAGAAAACAAGAAAATCTACTTTTCTTAGGAAAAAAATATCAAGTTTTGGACAACAACCAAAAACATTTCAATGACTATCTCTGGCACTCAAAAGTAAAGTATTCAGAAACCCAAGATTTTACAAGTCTTTCTCTTATTTGAAAAATATCACGAAGCAACAAAATTTGCCGAATGTAGAACAAGACACTGAAACAGCCGAGCTACAAGCTAGGAACTGAAGAGGAGTCCAGATCCCAAGCGATTTATTTTCCGTCCTTTGACAACATCATCTGCCCTCATAAAATGACAGTGCACAGACATTAAAAAACGGACAACGGGTCCACCTGCAGATACAAACCAAAACTCTGCTCCTCCTACTCCACCGCTGCAGCCGTTAAACAGCAAACTGACGCACGCACGCCGAGATTCAGAGCAAGCCTTGGGTCGCTCCGACAGCAACTCCTGCGAATCTCGGACAACCCACAACCCAGGTTCATCCAGGTGAAGCGACTGCAGGAACGGGGAGGGGAAGCAGGCCGGTGCCACACTGCGGCACGCAGCCACCAGCAGAAATGGCCGGTGCAACCCAGGGTGAGCAGAGTTAACAGGCACCACAGCACAAGGAGCTGCTCAACAGAGAAAACAAACTTGGAAAGAAAAGAAAGCGGTTACTCAGGAGGGATCATACTAGGCCGTAGTAAACAGTCCAGCTCATCAAATAAACAAAGCAAACACCCCACCTTGCACAGGGCTGGGGAATTCATTGCAAGGAAGGGCAAGCTCTCGGCTTCCAGTGCATTCCATGGCCGAGTGATGAGGTTCAACAAAGGCAAATGCAGGGTCCTGCACCTGGGGAGGAACAACCCCATGCACCAGTACAGGCTGGGGCTGAGCTGCTGGAGAGCAGCTCTGCAGAGAGGGCCTGGGTGTCCTGGTGGACGACAGGGTGACCATGAGCCAGCAGCGTGCCCTGGCTGACAAGAAATCCACTGCCATCC